ACGCTTTCAATTTAAAATTTGGGGTTAAAACTTAACGACACGTTTTTCAAGATAATGATTTTATATTACTTAAAATTCTCAGTCGCTACAGTACGCATAGCATTCCTGTTGGTAAAAATTTTCTTTCCTTTTTCTTGTTTCAGCAAATTTTGATATGATATCTTTGCACTCTTTATAACCTAGAAGCCGTTCAAAATGTGAGGGATATCTCTAGACCTAAAATTCATATATTCCACATATTTTGGAAGTAAAAACGACGCTTGATCATCAAACAAAGGTGTTACTCAAGATTCTTGAAAATTATTCAACCAAAATCAAGATTTCATTTAAGGGAGTGGATTTCTCCCATTTCTTCCATCTTTTCTTGATTTGGGTGATGTTTTTCCATATTATCTATTATGACTTAATTAATAGGATGATAGGTTAGTTTTTCTTTTATATTGGATGAATGATGAATCATATTATTTGTTTATTTTAATTCAAGACAATTAATTTAATATTTCTTGATTTTTTTGGATTGGTTATTCACATTGATCTGTTTAATTGATTGATCACCATTAGATAGTAAGTTGTTTGCTGTAGTGTAGGAATACTACAATAAGTCCAGAAAGCGATAAAATCAACATATGAGCAATAGGTATTATGAATAATATCTATGACATATACAATCATATATGATAAATTTTGTAAATCAATGCATTTTTTCATATGAATTCAGATTAAAAATAGGATCGGTCTTATTAAACATAAATTTAATATATTTTGGAAAAGAATATTGAATAGGGGAAATTTTTCTTAAGTAGTTTACATTTTTTGGTAAATTGAAATATGTTTGCTGCTTAAATATCCTCGTTGAGTACTGCAAAATGACCTTTTTAAGTAAAATGGTTTTAGTAAAATGTTATTGTTATTTAGGCAAAGTCGACGATAATTTAGAGGATTAATTTGTTTAATGACGTCATATTATTACATTTGTTAGAAATAGCAAAAATGCATTTTCTATGGATGTTGTAATGAAATGTTTAATATGTCTATACTAATAGAGATTATACTATTTTAATATCTAGATTTGACGATCCTACAAAATTTGTAAGACATCTATAGGAAAGACCGTTGTAACATGTGCGAGTAATTTTGAGTTCATGGGATCATTTTAATTGATTTGAAGACAAATATGAGGCCACATTTTCTCTCTCGAAAATTTAACGTTGATATGTAATTTCGCTTCATGTTCGTATCAATAATGTGCAACTTCCGTACATGTCATGTCATGCTCCTTCCAATGATCAAACACATGATGATGTGCATGCATGGTCAGTGTTGAAAACGGGCGAGTTGTTTATGTGGATTGACCCGATCCATGTAAAATAAAGTAGACTAGAAAGATTAGTTGTTATTTGAATTGTGGAATAACTTCCCACTTTCCATAACCAACTAAAAGACACTACAACTCCTATGATGAAATGACCTTAAATTGAGTTAATCTTGGGAATTCTTCAATTTCAAGTAAGTTTCTACAATCTTGAACAAGTAGAAGCATACTATGTAAAGAATTACATTGATATCAGAGCTTATATGTTTGTTTTCTTGCAATTTATGCTACAAAAAAGGATTCACAAAATATGTGCAGTATGCTCTTTTATGGCTTTGATCATATTTGCAAATTTTTGAAATTTGTTATCTATGACTTTCAAAGTTTAAGTCAAAATTCAGATTAAAAAAAAAAAAAACTTGAGAAAATTTGAAACTTTTGAAGAAGATGATAACGTCTGTCAAAAAATTTTTTTAGCTTCATTTGAAATGAGAAAATAATGTGTCATTAAAAATGAATTTGAGAAAAAAAAAAATTTAAAGAACGAGATTCAAATAGGTACATATAAATATATGGTGTGAATATAATTATCCTATCCAAAATTAAATTTGGACATTACTTTTCACTATCATGTATATTTTTATTTTATTCTTGGTTCCGACTAATTGACCGGAGCATCACAACGGGTTCTTGGATAAGGCAAACTGCAAATATTTTTGTAAAAACCGACCAGGCGCTCTAAATTAATGTTTAACGTCAGACAAAAGGAAAGAGATTTACATGGAAATAATATATGTATCATCAATAATTTGTATAAAACTAGATAATTAATAAATGAGTTTTTAGATAATGAGGTACTTTTTATTCATATATTTTGTTTACTTATTTAGAAAAATATTTTATAAGTACTTGCCAAAACTATGGTTAGATATAACTTAATATCAATTAGAAATTTTCACATAAAATCATGTACGTCTATTGAGGGATGCCAAAAAGGTAGGGTCAGAACGAGCAGTCCAACCTTATGGGATCTTCGGGAGGAGAGCATTAACAAGAACCGTGAATTCCCGCCCCCTTCAGGATGGGAACGTGTTAGAAATTTTACTGTCTCTAGTTTTTATTTGCAGTGACGAAACTAGCATGATTTGATCTTTTCATGTTTATGAAAAAATGTTATGAAGTTTAAGTTGTTACGTATATTATTTTTTTAGTTCCATTGTCATACATATGATTCCAATAGTCGAAGTATTAATTATCCAGCACACGCGTTAAATTGTGTAAATTCGTAAAGTTAGATCAACCATTAATATAATCGAGTGAAAAAAAAAAAGATAATAATGGAACATTATCAAATGTTGATACTTTAGCTGTAATTGAGAATTCGATTAGAATCGTATGATTTTAATTTGAAGACAAATCAGTTAAAATTTAACTGAAATTATAATTATGTTCTGTTCAATTTAGATATCTTCAATTATTTTCAGGCTCTGTTTGGTACATATTATTTTTGTCATTCTCGTTCTTCTACTCATTTTCAACCACACATTCTTCAATAAAATAATATTTTACATCACATCAATAACTTTTCCTTCATTTTTAACCACACATTCTCCATCAATCTACTATTCAATAATACATTCTTTCAAAAGAATGTATACCAAACACACTCTCAATAACAATTTGGAACTCCATTTCCTTTTTTTTTTTTTTTTTGTTAAAAAAAATCATTGCCTGCAACCCCGCGCCCTTTCAGAAAGTCGTGTCCGCACTGGATAAGATTGGATCGAATGCTACAGTAGAGAACCCGCTTCACCACCGGCAAGCTGCAGAAGAAATACAGGAATCTGAACTCCACCGCCGGCGAAGATCCGACGTCGTTCAGATAACCTTGGTTCAGGTTCTTTCTTTCTCTCTCCGTATGTAAATGTGGAAGCTTGTAGCATTAGTTAGAGAAATAGAGAATTAAAAATTATTGTTTGGGGAATTTCAGTTGAGAAAAAAGGCTAGAATTTTAAAAAACCCAATACGTGAATTTTTTGTGCGAACCTTCGTACATTTGGCTTGTGAACTTTCTTTTGCTTCTTAATGCCCTAGTTACTTTTCGAACTTTTTTCTTTTTAGGGTTTTGAAGTTTGCTGAATTATTAGAGTTTATTGATGATTTTGGCGTGTACATGATATGAATATGTGGTGAATTCTAGCTAGAAATTACTTCATTACATGAAATGACGAAATGATGTTTGCAAATTAAGAAGCCAAGAATATATTAGCTTTCTTGTTAGTGCTTGGGGAATTGTATGTCTGTTTGTTCTGTAATTTGTATGCTATGCATTATAATGATTTAATCTTTAACCCTATCCATCTTTTTCCTTGGAATGAAGTTACATGGAAACTGGTGAGGGTGCTGAACTGAGGAACCCTTCTGAAGAGTGCATTGGAGAGAAAGGTGATGGGTCCTATGCATTAGATACTAATGTAAAACAGACAGGTGAGACTCGTAAACTTTCCTCTCCTCATGAGACTGAGTTGACTGTCAACAGTGGAGAAATGTCTCCAAGCCAAGAAGTTTCCTCTGCTGGTGGAGATGGCATGGACGTAGACAGTGAGAGTACATATAGCTGCCTGAATGCTTCAATGGACAAGAATGGAGTTGATACTGATGATGAACACGAGTTCACTAGCCAGAATGGTTCCTCTATTGAGAACAATGGATTAAAACATGATGTTGATGGCAGGCATAAAGATCAGAGTCCTGATATCTGCTCTGTGAACCAGCCGAGAATCGATGTCAATGACAAGCACGTGTTTCAGGCTCTCGAGGCACCATCCTCGACCTCCTCGGAATCTGTTCAAGGTATAAAAGATGAAGCTTGTGTGTATCTTGTCCCAAAACTTGGCATGGAGTTTGAATCAGAAGACCATGCCTACAAATGTTATAATAGATATGCTCTCATGGAAGGTTTCAGCATCCGGAAAGACTTTGTAAATAGAAGTAATATTACGGGGTTGGTGGTATCAAGAAGGTATACATGTTATAGGCAAGGCTATGGATCTGCTAAGCGTGATTTGAAATCAAATAAACCCCGAAAGGATACAAGAACTGGTTGTCTGGCACATATGACCATTACACGTCAGCCTAATGGAAAATATCGTGTCATTCATTTCGAAACAAAACACAATCACGAGTTTGCAACATCTGTCACAGCTCATCTGTTACCATCACAAAAGAGAATATCTTTCGTCGAGGCCATTGAGGCAGAATCTGCTGGTAACTCTGCATCGGATGGGGTACCGAAGTTGGGTATGGGGTTTGACTCGGAAGATCATGCTTATGAGTTCTACAATGCATATGCAGGGCGACTAGGTTTTAGTGTTCGTAAGGATTATGTCAACAGGAGCAAAGTAGATGGTGCTGTGGCATCTAGGAGATATACTTGTTTTAGAGAAGGTTTCCGGCAGAAAGACAAAAGGGGTTTGAAGGTGAAGCGACCTCGAAAGGAAACTAGAGTTGGTTGCATGGCACAATTAGTTGTTTCTCGTCAAGCTGATGGTAAGTATCGTGTCACTCAATTTGAAGAGCATCACAATCACGAGCTGGTACCTTCATGTAAAGTTCGCATGCTACGATCTCAGAAGAGGTTTTCTACAAATCAAGCCGTTGAATCCAGTGCATTGGAGGGCTGTAACTTGCAGCCAAAATCGCTTGCCGAGTTGTTATTAAGAGGAGAAGGAGCACAAGGCAATTTAAGTTATGATCCCATAGATCGTGAAACTAGGCTCCCGTCAAAACGTTCAAGAAGAATAAAGCTGGATGAAGCAGAAAGTATTCGTCAGTACTTTCAGAGTAAGCAATTGAAGGATCCAACATTTTTTTGTGCTGTACAACTCGATGCTGAAGAGCAACTGACCAACTTTTTTTGGGCTGATGAGAAGATGATGACAGACTATAGTGATTTTGGCGATGTGGTTTGCTTTGATACAACGTATTATCTAAACAAAGAATGGCGGCCTTTAGCAATTTTTTTGGGGGTGAATAATCATAAGCAAATGCTGGTTTTTGGTGCTGCATTTCTCTATGGTGACACTACTGAATCTTTTGAGTGGCTATTTCGAACTTTCGCTAAAGCGATGTCGGGAAAAAAGCCACAGACAATACTCTCTGATCAAGATGCTGCCATTTCTAAAGCAATCATATCTGAATTTCCAGAAACAAGCCACCGGTACTGTGTATGGCATTCATACCAGAATGCACTTGAGCATTTGAGGGAAGTCGCGGTCAGGTCAGATTCTTTTGTTAATGACTTGTGCAGTTGTATTTTTAATCAGGATGAGGAAGAAGATTTCGTTAATTCCTGGAAGGTTATGTTGGACACATATGGTCTTTGGGAAAACAAGTGGTTGCATGAGAAATTTGAAGAAAGAGAGAAATGGGCTTTACCGTATGGTAAGCATATATTCTCGGCTGACATAGAAACTTCTCGACTCTCTGAGGATTCTATTACTTCCTTGGAAAAATACCTTAAGCCCGAATCACATGTTCTGCAATTTTTCAAGCACTTTGGGAGGATGGTGAATGACTGGCGTTTCAGGGAATTAGAAGCAAATTACGATATGAGTCAGCACATGCCAAGATTACTGGGGGACGTGGCAATGCTGAAGCAGGCAAGGGATGTATACACACCAAATATTTTTGAATTGTTTCAGCAAGAATATGAAAATTATCTAAATCTTGTCATTAACCAATGTGTTGATACTGCGTCCTCTTCTGAATATCAAGTCAGTACTTATGGCCAACTTCGACAGTATACAGTTATATATTGCTCAGAAGACGATTCAGTTGCCTGCAGTTGTATGAAGTTTCAATTTGTTGGAATTTTATGTAGCCATGCGCTGAAAGTGCTCGATTATTGTAATATAAAGATAGTACCTAGTCGATACGTCTTGAAGCGTTGGATCCGGGATGCAAGGGCTTGAAGAGATGTACCCGAGTCAGTAGACTTGTAGTGTAGCATGACACAGTTGAATTGTATAACGTACCTGCTTAATTCCCTTGCACTTCATGTGTCATGTTTAGTTGTGGAGCAGTCTTTCGATTTTTCTACAAATAAGATTTCCCTGTGAAACAAACTTGATTTTCATGTGCATTTTGGAGAAACAAAATATACTGTACAGTATTTTTCGATTATCTGTTGCATTTCTTGTACAGTCTAGATCGTGTAAAAATTCTGTGAACTATATATAAGTTGTTATATGACTTGGAATGACATGCGCCTACAAGACGTGCCACTGAGCTTGTACCAGGTCAACCACCAAGAATTGTCGAGCTAAAGGACCCTAGTTTGAGCCACGTGAAGGCCAGGCTAAGGCTCATGTGATGTCGGTGAAGCTAGGCTCGCTAAAGCAAAAGCTCAAATCTATGCCAACAAAACACTACAATGCTCAACTCAACGTGCACCAGACACAGAGTCGATGACACTAGGAAGCCAAGTCTGGTGTACACAGAAGCCAACACAAATTTACTTGCCCAATTCAACAAAGATGCTCAGCTCGACTGACCTGACACAAAGCATAAATCATACTCCGATTGGGTTTAGTTCATCTAGAATTCAAGTGATGCAACAGTAAGTGCTCCAATAAAATGTCGAAGTCTTCCACTCTCACTGATATTCTAACGCTACAATACTATTAGAGTAGAATTGACCACTAGACTTCTCTCATTAGTGTTCGTTTTGCAGTTTTTCTGGGACATTTCAAGTTTATATTTTGGAATAGAGAGAGCAGAGAGAGATTCTGGAATTAACGAACTTGCAACATAGGAGTAACAGATAGAATCCAAATGAAATTTTATACAGATGCTGAAAGTAAACAAAGAAGAATTTTTTTTCAACAAGCGCTTTATTGTTCTTAATCTGCCCTCGCAGAAAAAATCAGTCCCATGTTTAGCATGCCGAATGCTAAACCTCAAAATAGATATCACCTAACATCATATACAGACAAAATTAACAGTTAATCAGGGGGGAAATTCAACTCCAAGAGAACAGTCTTCACCTGTAATTTTGAATTCTAAATTATGCTGTCAAGAAACTGTTCAGCATTCAGAGGAACCAACTACAAGATCCAAAAAAAGCAAAAATTTCCTCATACACCTTAAGAAACCGGATATTAGAATCTCAACCGCCTCCGGTTTGAGCATGTTACACTGACTCCCTCTATATGACGTTTTCATCATCGGGGCAATTTATGTAGAGTATCCCTGGAATTCCATTCCAGATGCAATTTCTCTTTCGTTTTAAGCTATTTCAGCACTTCGAAGATGCCTATCACTTCCATTCAAATCCCAGAATCCTGAATGCGAGGCTCGTCTCTTTGTCTTAAAACTTTTACCTCTTTTCTGCCCCTTGCGACTGGAAAGCATCGCCGACATTACTGTGACAAATACAAAGATCGAAAATGCCCATAGGCCAATTATCCAAAATCTCATGGAAGTGAACGTTTCATTTGCCATAGCCGGCAGCAATGATTCCCGAGATTCATTCTTGGGGTCAGGACTGTGCCTCGAGGCACTAATTTCCTCAATCTTTCCGAATTTCCTTGAAGTCGTAACCTCACGGGCTGTTTCTTGATTTGGAGGAGACAAGGAAATGGAATCCCGACTCTCTCGAATTGGATAGGTGGAAGTGGGATCCGGGCATTTATTCTTCTCGTGATGTAGGCGTAGAGCTTGGTTAAGTGTATTCCCACATTCTATGCTGAGCAAATCACGCTGTAATGCATTCTCTTCGGTATGATCAAGAGTTGATGGATCAGGTGGGTCGGGGAACTTAGCCCAGCATTTGTTAACCAAGTCAATGTTTCTCCAGCTTGCTTTATCGAAGCTCCAGTTTCCAACCCTGAATTCCAAGCCATAGTGGAAGACTCTATACTTGACACCAGGTGCTGGAGCATATCCTGGATATATCAAAATTTTGTTGCTTATGATGTGCCGCAAATTCAGCTGCATGGAAAATTAGAAAAAAATATTATTGAAAATTATATTTCAACAAGCTGCATTATGGAGTAGAAATGGATGTCAAGCAGCTGAAACTTATATTAACACATTGGGTAATTATATTAATCTATTGGGCTATTCTGCAAATTCAAATGAGATAGAAACGGTTTTAACACTTCAATAAATTCTGAAATACCTCTGCTGCACCAAACGAGTAACCATACATCTCGCTGATCCATCCAGCTTCATACATGTCCCCGGTTATGTTTCTTGACCAATGAGCCGTGTCAGCCCGGACCTCCTCAGTTTTATGCAACCACAGCAGAGCAAATCTCCTGAGGTCGTTTATATGCATTATGATCACACCTCCGACCTTGTTGCAAGCATCTGGATGACGGGTGTGCATTTTTGCAAGCTCATTGTCACAGCCAATCAAGTAGCTGGAATGAATATATAGCAAAAAGAGTGATTAGAACACATATTTCCTGATTCAGCTAGAAAGAAGATGCATCCACACTGCGAATTATGTTTCAGATACTCTTACAAAGAAATGAAAGCGATAATAAAGTGCGTGTTTGTATAACTTACCTTTTTCTTACCTGTAAGTAAAAAAAAAAAAGTCATACACTTTGAAAGTAATTCTTAACTTACTGGCAAGACAACTTACTTATTTCCAAACTTTGACCAATAAAAAAATAATTTATTTTAAGGGTCTGCTTGGGAGTTCCAACGTATCGATTATGAGCGTTTTTTAAAGTACCGGTTTTGAGCGTTCATAAGTGGACCGATTATGAGTGGTTTTAGTAGCGATTTTTAAAACAGTCCAACCCATGTTTGAAAATTTATTATCCACCAGTTCTGAGAGTTTTTTAAAAAAGGTAAACTTTATACGCCCCTCAGTGAAATTTTAAGTTTATGGTTTCTTGTATAAATTTTTTTACTAAGTGATATTTTAATTATATATAATTTTTTTTTACATATAAGATAATATTTAATTTAAAAAGTTAAATAAAGTTAAATATTTACTTAATTTTATGTTAATCTTTCTTAGTTATCTATAAACTTTATAATTATTAGTTAATTTTGTACTTTTAAATAATTTTTACACATAAGCGAATTTTTTACTCATAAGTAACTTTTTATAGGTTATAAGTGATTTTTTGTCTTATTAGCAAGATTTTTACACAAAAATAATTTTTTATCTTATAAGTAATATTATAAGTAATTTTTTATTATAATATAATTTTTTGCATATAAATAATTTTTTTAGTCAGTATATTTTTATTTATAAGTTAGTATTAAACAAAATATGTTTGTTGGAAATAATTATTTTATAAAGGGTAAAATTAGAAGAGAATTCGAGAAACAGCCAAAAATTGCCGATTTGGAGGGTTGGGAGAACCGGTCAAAATTATGCTACATCGTTTTTGGGTGGTTTTTGAACCATCCAAAATCGGTGCTTAAAAAATCTTGCAAACACCGGTTCTTCCAACCCCTCATAAACGATGCCACCCAAAACCGGTCAAAACCAAATAAAATAAAACTACCAAGCAGGCCCTAAAGGTTACTAATTAACTCATAACTTTTTAAGCTTAGCAAAAAACATGCTCTTTAAAGTTCTTTTTTCGTACTCATAGGGAGTGGAAACAGGTCTTCCAGGGGCTGCATTGAATTCCCATGGTGTAATCGGACCTCTCATTATCATGTCAGCATCCAGGATTACTATATACTCTGCATCTATTTTTGCATGACTGAGCCAATGAAGAACTGCAGCTGGCTTATTAATTGCTGGATACCTGAGATGCAACAAACAAAATGCAGGTGTTATTAGCCAAGTTCTTTATCGTAACGTGTATTCTAGTTGCTTATGTAGTTTCTGCTTAACAAATTGATGCTTTTCTTTAAAAAATAAAAACATATAAAAATCACAAATAATGCTAATAACAATATGAACATAATGAACTATTCAGTTTAAAACAACCACTACCTAATAACATAAATTTCAGTTACTCGAGCTTGGCTAGAAGAAAGGTGGAATAGGCTAATTGGTTTTACCGAGTCCCCTATAGTCCAGCCAACTCAAGCTCGACTCAAGCTTGAGAAAACTCAAGTTAAGCCACGCCTAATTCAAGCCAAGTTCGAAAAGCTTGCATGACGGCTCAACTTGTTTGCATCCCCATGAAGAACTAGAAAAGATAAATATTGCTTAAAACCAGGTTGGAAATGTGGATTAGATCCTTTTTCTAACACGAGTCCTCTCAATTTTCCATTATTTTTTTGAAGTATTATTTTATTTAGTGGTGCCTATGTTCATTTGAAATATCTCACAAGCACTTGGGGTTTGTGTATAAGAACTTCTCAATATTCTGAGCTTTCAAGAAGATAGAGTTCAATCTAATTACTGAAAATGTCCAATTTGCCTTCATTGATATTATTTTACTAGTCATAACCATGTCAAACATCTACATATTTAATGAAAGAAACATATGCATCATAAGATAATTAAAATAAACGCTAAGAAATTAATTACTATCTTTTCACTATTGATATCTATCTCTTTTTCAGAAGTTCCAGACCTACCATACTAAACATGAAAAAAATAATTAATCTCATTAAAATGAGATTTTCATGGGACATCACATTTTTCTACAGTATTTTTATTGTTTAAAAATTATTCAAGTTCAGTACATTTGTCCGATTTTGGAAAATATCATTCCTGCCATTGAATCCAAGTTAGGCAATTTTACCCCTTCTCTTTTGCCATAATTCCATCAATACTCTCCCTTGTTTAACCCTACCATTCTCATCACTTTTGCAAGGGTGAAATGGGTAATTAATACATATAAATTGCCACGTCATCATCCATTAGTTAACGAATGCAGTGTGCAGCTAACCACTTTTGACCACTGTTCAAATGTGTGGACCCACACTGGCAGGATATGAAAATGCATTTTGGGATTTCAATGGAGCCCAAACACGCGTAAATAAGAAAAGCTTCTGATTCAAAAACCAAAATAGAAAACAAATTACTTCTATAAGTTCATTATAGAAACCAGAGTCACGTATTTGCACTTTAGTTTCTCATTTTATTCTACAATTTCCATAATATTCAAGGAAGAAATTATTTAAAAAATAATAGACTTCTTGACCAGCAATCTAATTTTCCCCATGACATTGCTCCTGAAGATGGCCTTGACATCAACAAGCCAGTAACCCAACAATTCACACCCGATTTCAGCCACACGTCTTCACCACCACTATCCATAATTCTGCCCTTGTGTTCTCCATCCCTTCTACATACCTTTAGGGTGTGTTTGGTATGGTACTGGTGATGGAAATATTAGTATGGATATTATTTAATTTAGTTTCCAATTTTTATGCTTATTTTAGGAAACATAATTAGAGTTTGACATCATAGATATTATATTATTTTCCTACTTCAATTAGGACTAGTTTAAACCTTATATAAGTAATGTAATTCATACAACTTTGATAGTTGTTATGCTGTATACATTAGTTTAGGCTAAAATTTAGTTTTTACATATACAACGGAGGTATATAAGGTGGGTGCATAAGTCTAGAATTATTTCCTAATGAGAAATATACTCTGTATGTATATACACGTAATCTGTCTTCG